CCGTCGCCTCTGTTATGGCTCTCGCCACAGATCAAATCCAGGACATTATTGCTCATTTAAGCACGCGTCTCCATGCCTTCGGATTTTGCCTCTGACTTTAACTCGGCTACACCGTCTGTTTCCACCAACTTAGGTATACTTAGCTCTTCCTTCTATTTATCTCTATTTACACACCTACCCAACACCCACATATGGATTCTTGACACTGGAGCAACCCACCACACTTGCTGCCACCACCATTTATTCACAAAACTTAAGCATGTTAAACCTTTCCTTGTTACTTTGCCTAACGGTAGCTCAGTGATAGTCAATCAAGTAGGAAATATTATTTTGACAACTTCCCTTACATTGGTTGATGTCCTATTTATTCCCACATTTACTTTTAATCTCATAAGCGTTAGCATGCTCACTTCCACTCACAATTGCACAGTTAATTTCTCACTTGATTCGTGTGTCATTCAGGACCTTACTCAGGGCTTGTTGATTGGAAGGGGTAAACGAGTTGGGAACCTTTATCATTTTCTTACAAATAAATTTCTTTGTAATTGCGTTGTTTCCGAATCTGTTAATTCTAAATGTAGCCTATGGCACTTTAGATTGGGTTATCCGTCTTTTATAAAGCTTCAACATTTAAATAAAGATTTACATATTCCAGTTGTTCAGATGAATGCTTCTTTTCATTGCCCTATTTGTCCTCTTGCTAAACAAAGATAATTATCTTTCATATCACATAATAATTTGTCGCTAAACCCCTTTGATCTAATTCACATTGACATATGGGGCCCTTTTGCTATCAACACTGTTGAGGGATACAAATATTTCCTCACTATTGTTGATGATTGCACTAGAGCCACCTGAGTTTACCTCCTTCGCCAAAAATCTGATCTTACCACTATTTTTCCTGACTTTTATACATTTATCTTAACTCAATACAAAAAACCTATAAAGTCAGTAAGGTCTGACAATGCGCACGAGTTAAGTTTTCACTCATTTTTTAAGTTTAAAGGCATTCTTCCTTATCACTCTTGTGTTGAAACTCCACAACAAAATTCTATTGTGGAACATAAACACCAACACATCTTGAATGTTGCATGTGCTCTTCTTTTTCAATCCAATATTCCACTTGTTTATTGGAGTGATTGTATCTTAACTGCTGTTTATATCGTTAATCACCTCCCTTCTCCCTTACTTTCTAATAAGACTCCTTTCGAGCTTTTAAACAAGCGGAAGCCCTCTTATAATCATTTGCGCTCTTTTGGATGTTTATGTTATAGCTCCACACTTACACACTAGCGACATAAACTTTCACCTCAAGCACGTGCTTGTGTCTTCCTTGGATACCCATTTGGATACAAAGGCTACAAACTTCTTGATTTCAAAAGTAATCAGATCCACATTACCCGTCATGTAGTTTTCCATGAGACAATTTTTCCTTTTTCTCATCATCGGCCAAATAATATTTCATCTGATTTTTTTCATGATTGTGTCATACCTCTTCCACAAGATACTGATCACTCTCCTCATATTTCTTTTTAGCACCCATCTCATTCCTCCACCACTTCTCGTCCTCAGCGTCAGAGTAAACCTCCTTCCTACTTGTCTGACTATCACTGCTACCACACCTCTTGCACACACCATCCCATTTCCAATTTTCTTACATATGACAAGTTTACACCACATATCACTCCTATATATGTTCCATTTCTTCACACACTGAACCCCAGAGTTTTTTTGAGGCAATCCGGATGCCAGTTTGGCAAGATGCCATGTACACAGAGTTGCGTGCTTTGAACAATAATCATACCTGGACAGTTGTATCTTTACCACCAGGAAAGAAACATGTTGATTGTAAGTGGGTTTATAAAATCAAGTATCAAACTGATGGACAGATTGAAAGACATAAAGCACGACTGGTAGCAAAAGAGTATACTTAACAATTCGGAATTGATTTCCTTGACACTTTCTCACCGGTCGCAAAACTGGTCACTGTCAGGACCTTATTATCTCTAGCTGCTATCTTTCACTGGAGTCTCACACAATTAGATGTTACTAATGCTTTTCTTCATGGAGATCTGCATGAAGAAGTATACATGACTCTTCCTCCAAGCTATTCTCCTCGAGAGGGGGAGACGTTTCCACCGAATACTGTCTGTTGATTACACAAGTCTATTTATGCATTGAAGCAAGCTTCACGACAATGGTTCCATAAATTTTCCACAGCCCTGACTCAAGAAGGTTTTTCTCAGTCACAATGTAACCACTCACTGTTTATCAAAAATCATGAAGATATTTTCATTGCCCTTTTGGTTTATGTTGATGATATAGTAATTGCAAATAATAATGATAATGCTGTCAAAGATTTCACATACAGCTTGAATCAGAAATTCAAAATGAAAGACTTGGGACCACTCAGATATTTCCTTGAGCTTGAAGTTGCCAGAAACAATGATGGAATAACTCTATGTCAAAGAAAATATGCTCTTGATCTCCTCTCTGAGGCTGGATACTTAGGTTGTGAGTCGTCCCTTATTCCTATGGAACCCAATCTCAAGATTTCCAAGGAAGATGGAGAACCGCTTGGTAATGTCACCAGTTATAGACGATTAATTAGGAAGCTGTTATATTTGACTATCACTCGGCCGGACATTTGTTACTTTGTTAATCGTGTGAGTCAATTCTTAGCTGCTCCAAAGACAAGTCACCTTCAAGCTGCTCTAAGGATTCTACAGTATATTAAAGGAACACCAGAATAAGGGATTCACTTCCCTGCAAATTCTCATATTCAAGTAAAAGCCTTCTCTGATGCCGACTGGGGCACATATCCTGACACATGGAGATCTCTGACAGGATATTGTATTTTTGTCAGATCATCACTCATATCATAGAAATCCAAGAAGCAACAAACTGTGTCTCGATCTTCTGCAGAAGCTAAATATCGCTGTATGACAAATACAACATGTGAAATAGTATGGATTTTGAATTTAATGAAAAATTTGAATGTCAAGCACATAGGGACAGCATTATTATATTGTGACAATCAGGCTGCTTTTCATATAGCTGCCAATCCGGTTTATCATGAAAGAACAAAACACATCGAGTTGGACTGTCATTTTGTTCGAAAAGAGATTCAAGTCGGAACACTCAAAACCATGCATGTCTCTTCCAACAACCAACTTGCGGACTTGATGACTAAAGCTCTTCCTTCTACACAGTTCCATACACTTTTAAGCAAGATGGATACAATCACATATATCCAATACAAAAAATAAATAAATAAACATTCAGTTGTGCCATACACCCATTCGAATCAAAAGAAATATCTCAATCTATTATATATCACATATTCTTAACAATTTTCTGAAAATTAAATCATTTATATTAACAACAAATCCAGTATTAGAAATGGACTTCAATAATCGACCATCTTCAAACGCAACAAACCCATCACCAGTGACAAAGTGAAATATCAAAGATACTAGAAAAACTAGTGCAACTCTGAGAAGAAGCAAAAACAGAGGAACCCACACTCCATTTTTTGGCAATGTCAGGAAGAAAGAGAGAGAAAGAGAGAGAGAGAGAACTGAAAGCTAAAATATTTGCTGCAGGCCCCAATGCATTCACACCAGGACGATCATAAGGCATAAATAAAAAAGGAAAATTTGCAACTGAACCTGCCAATGAGACCAGGCTGAGCGTTCAGAGGATCTCGGAGGGCTGACCAGGCTTGAGTTAGCTGTTGCGGCGGACAACAGACCAGACTGCACGTACGGTGTATGCGAGGCAGTTGCCTGTTGCGGATGACGGCTGTTGTGGACGACGTGCTCCGTCGCCGGACACGGACGCTGAGCAGAGAGAGGAACTACCACGCGGTTGCGTAGGTGGGCTAGGGTTTTATTATACGAGGGTAGTTCAGTAATTTTATGTGATAAATACACTTGACTTTATTGTCCTGTTTTTTTTTTTTGGGCATTACTAGAGACAAGCACCAAAGTACTAGACGGGCTTGTAATATATATGTATTTAACTTCATTGTTCATTGATCCAAATCAAATTGTATATAGAATAGATAGAAAAAAAAAAATATATATATATATATATATATATATGTGTGTGTTTGGAGCAATGACTGATTTTAAATATTTTGTAAATATATGATATATATAAACTTTTATGTCTACAAAATCAACTCTAATTTATATATGTTCAACTATCTCATATATATTCAATCCACCTTATATTTTTACGTATAAATAATTATTAATAAACTCATCATACGTATTAAAATTTTCATTTAAATAAAAATTTAAAACAAAAAGAAATTATTACTTAGTCAATAAAAACACAGTCGAAATTAAACCACATTGAATCATGAAGCAAAAACATTTCAAAATTGAGGCTATACTAGATATACGAAATTAGAGCTATGTTTTTAATTTTTGTTATTATTATTATTATTATTTAATTTAAAACGAAGTGAAATAAAAAATAAAAAGTAAACCGAAAGGAGGGAGACTAACTATATACAAAACTTTTTTTTGTTTAAATTAAAAAAGTAAAAATAATTCATCAAAATCAAAA